GTTGATGTACTAATATGTTAACGTTGATGCAACATGTTGATGCACTAATCTGTTGATGTTGATGCCATATGATGATGCAATAATATGATGCAAGAATTCTCTTCAATGCTTAGAGATCTTGTAAAAAAACAATGTATTCAGCAGTATACATACAACCAGAACAGAAAAGTAAGTCCTCCAGGAGTTGCATATACACTGTAGTACTTTGCAATTTACCACCATGTCTCATCACGTGTGCAGCACGGGACTGCTCATGGCTTCAACAACAGATGCAGACATAACAAACAACGCAGCACACCCTAGGTGCACATGCATAATACTCATTCCCAGTCAGCATGGACAAAAAACATGCAGCACCATTTATGTGCATTCATTACATAATAATTTTTATACACACAACATCCAACTGAAGGGATGAAATGGGTTGAAAAATATAATGCTCAAAAAAAAAAAATAGAGAAGAAGACAATCAACAATAGTCAGCATGTACAAGATATGGCCACTTTATTCTGTGTCTGTGTATGTTTTTCTAGTTCGTTTGCCACTATGATAGCAACTCTAGTCTTCAATTTTAACACTGATTTCTCCACATTGTACAATCCAAGTTACCTCTCCTTATGGTTTATGCCAAGCCATGCCAAGACAAAAGATATCAAGGCTCTAGCATGCTTATACTTAGAAAGGCTTGTACTGGAGGGATAAACTAGACCTTCTTGTCTATATCAGTCAGAAATTCTTCTTTTGCATTTGAGGGAACCTCACTATTGAGTACAATGGCTACTGTCAATATTTAATATTGCCAAATGTTCACTCAGGGACACATTGTAAATGCTCAGTGACAATCTTGGATTAGCCCAGCAAAGAGCAAACTGTTTACACCTTTTGACTTGTTGACTGTGCCATCCCCAGAGGATTCTTTTGACTTTGTATAAAAACATGACCAACTAGGGGTTTCACATGGTACTCATAACGAATTAGTCAGGTTGATTGGTGAGAAATGATTATGATCATTTCAAACTTTTACTGTCACAGAAGCCATTACATCAAAATCATCAAAACAATCATCGTCAAAATCGCATGGTCCTGTGTTTTCGATCTATAGGCCTCTACACCATACTGTGCGGGATCGCATAGGCTAATTGCATATCTTAAGCATTGAGATCTGATTGGGCGCGCCTTGAAACAAGGCGTCCAATCAACTTGGATGTACCAAATTATAAAACAAAATTCCACTTCCTGTTTTTGTCGCTATGAAGACATCCTTCCCACACAAAACTGCGTCGATTTCCTGTACCTGATGAGGCTTGAGGGCACCCACACCGAAAACTTTCGCAATTTTATCATCACAAATATCACGATTCATGGGGCCGCCATTTTGTTTAAAATGAAATGCCAAAGAGGGATTTGTAACAAGCACACTGATTGGACAATGATTAGCCGCAACTGACTACTGGAAGCGCCATTAGAATACGCATATTTGATGGTCGCTCTGCCAAGGTCTGTTTAGAGGCTTGGCCGAACAAACTTAGACCTTGGCTAGCGAAGAAGAGAACAATAAAAAAATGAAAGTTTTTTAATTCAGAGCAATGAAACCATCACGTTGATTCTTGCAATAACTGTTGCTTGAATCATACAATCATATGTTGCAACACAATGCATGGAGTAATTTGAAAAAGACCTCATCATTCGACAACAGATTAATTTTGCTACGACGACAGTAATAATGCACCAATCAATAGATCACATTGGTGAATGTATTTGCTTGGATTAGCTTTTTAAAATGCTTCCAATAATGGCTGCATGGCTCTACTGAATAAAAACATGAATTCCTCAGTAAAATTTGTTTGCTCCCTTTCTAGAGATAATGTTCAAACTGTGTGAATATTCTATTTTGAGGGATTACAAAATTCTTCTTTATATTTTTGAATCGGAAAGGGAACAAGGACGACTGAATCATCCATCATTGCACATGCGTATTCTGACCTCTGCTAACAAAATAAATAGTATGATAACTAGTAACTTACCATTCCAATGGCAATTTGCCTGGCAAATGACAGTAAGTCAGATGGATTGAGCTTCTCTGACTCATCAATATTTTGGTTATTGGCAACAAGCTGTAACAAATCATCACATGCCAATTTTACTATAGTGAATCATTGACCTTAGAAAAAAGTGATTGTGCCCTCTATCAACATAAAACAAAATACTTCTGTTTTTTTGACAAATGAATGCTTCACACAAAATGGCAATAGTCATAGTTTAAAATGGTTTTCAGATGAGATCCATAACACAACTCAGCTTGAATATATATACAAAAGTTACATTTATGACATTATCTAAATCATAATCTCTTGAGTTTTAAGTGTGTCATATAATTGTTCTATTGTAGAGTCTAAAATCAATTATTGCCTTCCCACGCTATTACTGGAAACTCACTAAAACAAAATATGATTGATGAATAAGCTCATGCCCACATATTACATTCTCACTGACCTAAATGATTTCTTCTGTCTGATCTAAATCTTGGGCCCACTTCTGAACTCAGTTCGGTTGTTTCCTCATTTCTGACCTTTCTGGCCAAAACATTTGAGACTTTTGCTCGCCCCTAATCTCTCAGATCTAAATTGTTTTATCACCTGTGATCTTTAATTTTAAGTTGTTAGCTCTGACCTTCACTCTCTGACCTAACCATTCATATTTTGCTCATCTCTGACCTTCTCTCTTGTAGCTAACCATTCATGTTTTGCTCATCTCAGACCTTCTCTCTTGTACCTAACCATTCATGTTTTGCTCATCTCTGACCTTCTCTCTTGTACCTAACCATTCATGTTTTGCTCATCTCTGACCTTCTCTCTTGTACCTAACCATTCATATTTTGCTCATCTCTGACATTCTCTCTTGTACCTAACCATTCATGTTTTGCTCATCTCTGACCTTCTCTGTTGGATTTAACCATTCATGTTTTGCTCATCTCTGACCTTCTCTCTTGTACCTAACCATTCATGTTTTGCTCATCTCTGACCTTCTGTTGTACCTAACCATTTGAGTTATTTGCTCACCTCTGATCGTCTCTGTCGTAGAAACTTGAGTAAATCGCCATCTTGGCAATGTTGTACAATAAGACATAGAGGTTCCTGTACTGTACAGCATGCAATGATGCTGACTACATTCTGATGGTGCCCAATGTCTTTCATCAACTCAATTTCTCGTAAAAATTCATTTCTCTGAGTGTCTTCAGCATATTCTAAATCACAGAAAGATTTGATCACATTTGTATTATATGTAGTTAAAATGTATAGAGTGATAGATGTATTAAATGATGTTTTTTATATTCATCTTTTTGCTGTGTAGAAAGTCATAGGACATGCGTGTCATTGTTAATATAGCTGAGTTTTAATAGACCCTTTCACGGTTAGTGGCTGCCATCTTGAACAGAGGAGAAATCAAATGATATGCGCTAATATTCATGAGGAATTAACAAAATCACCCAATCAAGTAGAGCGTTCAGTAGTGCGTTCGGAGTTTGTATCCAACTAACTGTGAAAGGGTTTGTTGTGCTATTGTTTTCATCTGCTGTCTGTTTTTACCAAATTGTTCTGTATTTGATAAATGATGATATGTTTGGTATAAACTCTTGTTTATCAGAGAATTCATCAATGATAATGTTTAAGTAAAAATGGCAAAAACAAATGAATAATTCTTAAATAATTTTCGAATATATCCTCCAAATATTTACTTTTATTTCATTTGTTATTGTACATAGTATACCCATATCTACCTCCAATTTAAAATAACTAAATCTACTAACCATGTAGCATTTTGATTGCCACGGTAACATCTTGACTACGTGCCCATTCTTTAACTAATGATGACTGTGAATTTTGATGTGTTAAAACCCTGCCTTCAATTTTTCCCTGTATAACTTTTCCAAATGCACCTTCCCCGAGCACTTCACCAAACTCTATTCTTGATAATGGTACCTCCCATCTATCATGTGGACCAGGTATTGGCCTGTAATGTGTAGTTATGATACAAAAAAACAATTATTAGTAATTTTAACATTAATACAAACACCACATCCAGATTACATTACAATCTGTGGTCACATTGATATTATGTGCTGCTCTGATTGGACAATCTGTGGTCACATGGATATTATGTGCTGCTCTGATTGGACAATCTGTGGACACATGGATATTATGTGATGTGATGATTGGACAATCTGTGGTCACATGGATATTATGTGATGATTGGACAATCTGTGGTCACATGGATATTATGTGATGTGATGATTGGACAATCTGTGATGTGATGATTGGACAATATGTGGTCACATGGATATTATGTGATGTGATGATTGGACAATCTGTGGTCACATGGATATTATGTGATGTGATGATTGCACAATCTGTGGACACATGGATATTATGATATGATGATTGGACAATCTGTGGTCACATGGATATTATGTGCTGCTCTGTTCGGACAATCTGTGGTCACATGAATATTATGTGATGTGATGATTGGACAATCTGTGGTCACATGGATATTATGTGATGTGATGATTGGACAATCTGTAGTCGCATAGATATTATGTGCTGTCATGATTGGACAATCTGTGGTCACATGGATATTATGTGCTGCTCTGTTCGGACAATCTGTGGTCACATGAATATTATGTGATGTGATGATTGGACAATCTGTGGTCACATGGATATTATGTGATGTGATGATTGCACAATCTGTGGACACATGGATATTATATGATATGATGATTGGACAATCTGTGGTCACATGGATATTATGTGCTGCTCTGTTCGGACAATCTGTGGTCACATGAATATTATGTGATGTGATGATTGGACAATCTGTGGTCACATGGATATTATGTGATGTGATG